TGGGGGGGTGGGGGGGGGGGGGGGGGGGCAGTCGGAGAAGACGGTGGCGGGCAATCGGAGAAGATGATGGCGGGCCAGTCGGAGAGGAGCGTAGACGGTGGGATTTCGCCGGATGTCCAGGCCTGCGTCTTCTTCGGCTGGAGAAGAGAGAGAAGAAAAAAAAAATTGAAATCCGTTTTTAGATAACGAAAACGTGAAAATGAAAACGTTTTTTTTTTTTCGTTTTCAGTTTTTCAGAAAAGACAAAAACGTTATTGTTTTTGTTTTTTAAACATTTTTACACCAAATGCATTTTATGTTTCCGTTTTCATTTTTTAGTCTCGAAAAATGTGAAAAATAAAAATGAAAACGGAAACAAACAGGGCCAATAGTTCTCAATTTCTTCCATTATTTTCAATAGAGAAAATGCAGTGAATAACATACTTTTAACTCCTAATTGAAGTAAATATATATCTTTTTAATGTTTATAAATTATAGCATATCCCCATTACTCATTCTAAAATAAATTATTGATTTATAATTTTACCCCTTTTCATGTTTCTTTTCTCTTTTTTCTCTAAATTTCTTCTAAACTCTCTCTCTACCGTGACTCTCTCTCTATTTTCTCTCTCTGAAACCATATCTAGCCACGAGCAGCGATAGCGGCTCCCGGCGATGGTGGTAGCTTCCGACGACTGAGCGAGAGAGGTCATCAGTGAAAGCTAGTGCACGAGATCTCCGTCGCGACTCCAGTTCGCGATTCTGACCTTGAGACGCCGTCGCAGGAGATCTCCCTTGTGATCACCGTCGCAGTCGCAATCTTCGTCGCGATCTTTAGTGAAGATGTAGCTGAATTTAGGGTTTTTTTTTGTTCTTTTGCTGTGAATGTTCTTTTTTTTTTTTGCTAAGAACACTGTGAATGTTTTTTCAAATTGAGTTTCTTCTCCTCGATTTTTTTCAGATTGTTTTCGGATAACGGTGGTGTGATTTGCATATATTTTAGATCTGAGTTTGTGATTGAGATTGATAATTTGTGGAATTTTTGAGGAATTTGGGCTTCTTCTTTTTTAGTTTAACTTGAGTATAATTCTTGAGTTGAATTTAAGTTATAACTTGAGTTGAACTTCTAACTTGAGTTTGTGTTTGGTTGTGTACATTTGAGTTATGGTTTGAGATAAGAATCTTTTTGAGTTTGTGTTTGAGTGAGTCAAAACTTAAATTTATATTTAGATAGTATTTTAATAAAAACTCAATGCTGATGAAAAATTTTAATAAGGTATATGAGTCGGGTTTTATTCGTCTTTTCATTGTCAACGCATAGAAAAAAAATCATCTTAATCAGAATTAAAACGAAAAAGTTATAGCATTTTTAAGAATAAAAAAATACTGTTAATTAATTTGAGTTCGATTTTCTGAACTCGAGTTGAAGGGGAAACTTGAACTCGAGTTTTAGTCCTAAACTCGAGTTTGAACTTGAGTTTAAACTTAAAAGAACATGAACTCGAATAAAGTTGTAACTCGAGTTGTTTTTTTTTTTTAGTTTTTCACTCAAAAGAACAAGCCATTTGTTTTGCATTTGTCTGTATTTATATTTAGAATCTAGTAATATTTTATTTACTGATAAATACTTTAGTTAAATTGAATATGATAAATACTGTATATATTTAAAAATATTATAGTAGTTATAACTTATAAGTTTAAATTTAATAAATATAATATTTATCAGTAAATATAATATTAAACGATCGTCGTAGTTAGTGGTTGAATTTTTATATAAATGTGTATTTATTATGTAAATATAGTATGCATCTGTTTGCAGGATTCTTTTTTTCTGTGTTTGAAATCTTTAAAGGAGGAGGTGATTGGACTATTTTTTTCAAAGTAATGACAGCGGCTGTCTGTACAGTCCCCTATTGAGAGAGATTTTTTTTCAACATTTTTGACAGCTGACTGGTATATTTAGTCACGCGTGGAATAAAATCTCTGCAATAATTAACTATTCCTAAGAACTGTTGGATCTGCTTTACAGGAAGGTTCTTATATGAAAACATCAATAATTCCCACGTGTTAAACGGTAGCCGAAGTCGATGGTTGAATTTTTGAATGAATATTAGTATTTACTATTTATTAGTAAATATTTAAAGAGGTAAATACAATGTTGAACGGTCATTTAAGTCGGTGGTTAAATTATTAAATAAATATAATATTTATTAATAAATATAATATTTATCGGTAATTATAATATTAAAGAGTAACTGAAAAATAGTCTCCGTAATTTAGAGTTGGACTTTGAGACATGTGGATAAATGTGGATCTTTCAATGGAATGTTAAAGTTTGGGTAAAAGGTTAATAGGACATTACCAGCACGAAGAGTGGAGAATATAATTTCTATTACTGTATGTTCATACTTGATATATCTAATACCTAGAAGTGTTAGATGAACAGTGACTGATAAACTTTTTCTATCACTGAGAATTAAGACAAGCTTTATTACCCCGCAACTAATCACCAGAGTTGGCCACCAGCCGGCCGTCAGTCATAATCTATCTTTTATATAAAAATATACTATAAATTATAATCTACTTATTTCTTAAAAATATGTAATAATTTATTATTTTTTTAAAAATAGAGGTTTAAGGGGAACGAGGTCACGTGGGCCTTGATAAGAAATCCCATTTGATTGACAGCGAATTCCATCGCAAGTCACTCTTGCGCACTTTGTACCTAATATACTAAAGAAAAATTTTTTTTTTAAGAGTATATAATTCTAAAATTTTATCATTTATTTTTGATAAATATTATAATTATTTAATTAAAAAATTTATAAATTAAAAATATAAAATAAAAGTCTTGATTCATATATATTTAAAATATATTTATCAAAATTACCCAATACCAAATCGAACCATTTCCAAATTTACTTCTATTGAATCTCAAAGCGCTTTCTTGAAACTTCAGGACCCAAAAACGAAAAAAAAAAAAAAAAAAATTTTACGGAAAGAGAGAAAAAGGAAACTTCAGGACCAAAAAACAAAAAAAAAAAAAAAAATTTTACGGAAAGAGAGAAAAAAGAGTGGGTTTGGTATTGGATATGGATGCTGCGAGGGTGGCAGAGCTCAGGCACTTTATTAGTCAGTGCAAGTCGAACCCTTCAATTCTGCACAACCCTTGTCTTTCTTTCTTCAAGTCCTATCTTCAGAGGTATATCTTCTGCTCTTATATATATATATATATATATATATGTATCTAAGTAATTTATATAGATGCTCTATCTTCTACTTTGTTTGAGGAATCTGTTTTTTTTTTTTTTGTTTTTGTTTTTTGTTTTTTTTGGGTAGTTTGGGCGCTCGAATCCCCCCGGACCCAGAAAAGGTGCGACTAATTTTCTTTACAAATAGGTTCAGTTGTTTTACTTGTTCACCATTTTCAGAGTTTACTCCCTTTTGTTTTCTTTTCTTTTTGGACCGTAAATATATATAAGAAGTGTAGTGAGTGGAAATTTGTCTTATAAAGTTGATATAATTGATCTTGAAAGTGAATGGGCAATTAATTGTTTACATATAGTACTTAGTTATTTATTTATTTATTTTTGGTTGTTGTTATGTGTCTTAGTGGGAATATATTTATTTACATTTGATGTTTGATTAATTTGACACACTCTTTGCCTTCTGTAAATTACTCCGGCCTCAGTGAGGATGTTTCTTGTATGTGAGTATGTGACAAAGAAGAAGCATGAGCTTTTGAGCACATAGAAGGTGTTTACTTGCTATTGCCTGTTACCTGTAGCCTTTTGAAGTATCACGATTTTATATTGTCCGCTGTTTTTAGTAATACTGAGTTTGACTGTTTTCAGAACTGCCTGATAATAGGCAAAGTTAGTTTTCTAGTCAGTTGGTGAGCTTATCCCTATTTGGTTCTTAGTTTCTTTTGTGTTTGTTCTTTTGGTACAATTTATGGACTCGATTCCGTAGATGAATTTGGTGGCATGTTATAAGCAGCGTTTGAGAGGGCGGTGGTGGTGGGGTTCTGAGGGGTGTTATCTTCATATACATATGATGCAATTGTTTTGGTTTCGGATGAAAATAGGGAGAAGAGAGTGACATGTTTTGTGTCAAAAGTTGTTTCTTCTGTTACGGATTTAGGGAATAAAGGTAGGAAGGGGAGGCTAGGGAGGTTAGGCAATTGGTGTGAGTTTGGTTAGGAGAGAAGCAGAACCTCTCGAAAGTTCTGCAATTCTGTGTTACTTCAGTACTTGGAGCAATACAATTATCCCTTTATATTTTCATTAATTTTCTTCTCTTGCATATTTCTCTGGTTTCCACCATATAGTTATCCTTATTTGGGTTGACTTCTGTTTTACTTATCAAGATGAGTAAACGTGTGATGCTCTGTGCCATTGTGCCTGGGCCAAAGCGGTTGCTCGAAAACCTAGATTATTTGGTCTTTTTCTCATATCATTATTTATAAATTATATGCGATGTTGACAAAAAGTTTCATATCTTAATGTACAGGAGACAGTCAGAGACGACATGGAAGATACTAAGGAATATATTGACTCCAAAAAACATGATTCACTGGGAGAAGATGATGCCATTGTTGAGTCTGATATTGAGTTGGATAATACTGACATCGTAGAGCCTGACAATGATCCTCCACAAAAGGTAAATGGTTGAAAATATTGGTTGTGAATTATAGTGGTATTACAGCCTGGCATTATAAGTTTTCTTTCTTTCTAAATGACTGTGTGCTTTAATAACATAACATTTTCATTATTTAACCGCAGATGGGGGATCCATCAGTCGCAGTTACTGAAGAGAAGCGAGATGCCGCACAGGAAGCAAAATCAAAGGCTATAGAAGCCATGTCTGAAGGTATGAGATTGGTTTCTTATGATTTCCATTGTTAGTTGAGATTTATTGGCTTGTGTTTATATGCTGGTTTTTCTAATAATTAAATATTCCCCCCTTCAGGTAAGTTGGAAGAAGCCATTGATGACATAACAGAAGCAATAATGTTAAATCCGACATCAGCAATATTTTATGCGACTAGAGGTAATTTATTATTGATGTAACTGGATTGTAGAAAGTGACAACTTTATTTCCCTATTCCTGAAAGGTAATATTCTTGTTTTCAGCTAGTATCTTTGTCAAACTAAAAAAACCAAATGCGGCAATTCGAGATGCTAATGCAGCTTTAGAGGTATGTTCTGTCCTTTGTTTGCATATATTGTGCTGGAATAAATTCTGTTAATACCTGTGCTTAAGCTATATGGTTTGTCATAGATAAACCCTGACTCAGCAAAAGGGTACAAGACAAGAGGGATCGCAAGGGCAATGTTGGGTCATTGGGAAGACGCAGCAAGTGATTTGCATGTAGCGTCCAAGTTGGATTATGACGAGGAGATTGGTTTGGTGCTTAAAAAGGTAATTCACCTTTTTTTTTTCTTCTTTCCCCAAGGTGAAATCTTCATATGAGTTGTTGCGTGATTGTCTAGTTGAATTCTCAGGTTGGACCTAATGCCCAGAAAATTGAAGAGCATCGCAGAAAATATAAACGTTTGCGAAAAGAAAGGGAGTTAAAAAAAGCTGAACGTGAGAGGCAAAGACAATCTGAAGCCCAAGTGAGTGGAGTTGATATTAAATCATATCATAGGCCTTAATTGCATTAACAAAGATGGAATCCCTTGGACCGTTGAGAATTTTTGTGGGCCATTCAGAAATTGGGTTTGTAACTCTATGGCAGTCACATAGGAGCACGTGGCACTATTATCTTTATGCCTTTCATTCCTTTGAAAAAAATTTTGGCCATAAAGATAGGATTGCAAGCTAGGGTTGCTTCTGTTTGCAGTAGCCAATACATATTTTAATGCTAGTTACTTTGGTTCATGTTCAAGCAAAATAACAAGACATTTCTGAATCATGTCTTAGTATAGTTGATTGGAAATTCTAACAAAAGTTTGATTCGAGTCCTGATATAATGGCGTGTATAGTTCATTGGAAATTCTTGTTTTTATGACCTTGATTGCCTTGTGAAGCTAGAGCAATATATGCCTAAATTCCACACTTGAAGGCTTCAATTGTTTGTGTTTTTCATGACTTTGTGCATTTGAGATATGTCCCTGTCTGAGAGAATAAGAGGGATTTCTAGTAGTTATTCTAAAACTGTAGCTTTGATTTCATGCAGGAACGTGAAGCGCTATCTGCTCTGAAGGAAGGTATGGTGGTGTTTGATCCTCTCCTCTCCTCTCTCTCTCTCTCTCTCTCTCTCACACACACACACACACACACACACACATTAAATCTGATGCCATTTACATGTTTGTGGTTGTCATTGTTTTGACTAACCTTTTCTGATGCCCCATTTTGCATGTGGGTGTTGGATTTTACGTACAATCAAATGTCGTCTTTGTGTGTCCTGAAGTCTCATGGACGTCATACTTGAGTTTTTTCTGCTAAATAAATGCCTAATGAGTAACTTGTTAATTGTTATTATAATTTATTAATTTGGATTTGGATATGCGGTTCTTCAAGAAAATTTTAAAGGGTGGGAAAGGTCAATTCTAGATATGAGGAAGGATCCAATATAAAGTAACTTGACTGTAGTCTTTTTCAAGTTTTGTTGTCTTATGATGTTTTTGTTGTTGACAGGAGAAGTTATTGGTATCCACTCCACTAGTGAGCTCGACACAAAGTTAAATGCTGCTTCAAGGACATCTAGACTTGCAATTCTCTATTTCACGGCAACATGGTGTGGTCCGTGTCGTATCATATATCCTTTGTATGCCACCTTAGCTGGAAAGTACCCCAAAGTTGTTTTCTTGAAAGTTGACATAGATGAGGCCAGGGATGTGGCTGCGTGCTGGAACATCAGCAGCGTTCCGACCTTTTTCTTCATAAGAAACGGTAAGGAGCTGGACAAGGTTGTGGGAGCTGACAAAAACGCACTTGAAAGGAAGATTGCACAATATGCAGGATCAACATGAGCTGAACTTGAATTTCCATGTTTCACTTTTGGCTTGGCTTGCAATTCATGTGAGGATATACAAATCAAAGAATAAATGTGTTGCTAGACATTTTGTAAAGTGACTTGCTCAAGTTGTCAAAACATGACAAACTTCTGTACATGTTAAGTGGTGATAATGTTCTGCTTTTGAGTGAGTTGGAGAAGTGCCGTGTGCAAACATTGTGTTGTTCCTGTTTGATGTCTAGTTCACAACAGATGGAGATCCTGCCTTCTTAGCGAAATGGGGAAGTGTCAGCCTTGTTTCTAGCGACGATAGAGGCTAAACAGAGTTCTTTAGACAGAAAAAGTTGATTTTTTTTTAATCCAACTTTATTTTTCACGAGCTGCTTTTATATATATTATATGGTATTGATTGATTTATTTATTTTTTGAGTGACGTGGTATTCATTGCATAGAGAATCCAAGAAAAAAATTGTAAGCTTGTACATAGTGACTTTACGCACTAAATTAATATATATATATATATATATATGTAAACATAAGTTTTAGTTCTTAGGGAAGAACACTTCTTAACAAAGAAACAAGCTTGGAGTAAACCAAATTAGAAGCAAACGAAAGAGGTAGGCGAAATGAAGATGCCTAAACCTCATTTCCTCTCATTCTTGGAGTAGAACCTGAGCACAAAATAAAAGAGCAGGCGGTAAAGAAACCCCCAAGCAAGCAAAACTCCAACATCGTACCAAATGCTGTTCGTAATATCCATCGTGAACAAAACATCTTCTCCGATCAACATGCATGGTTGTTGTAACAGTTTGTGGGTTTCATTATGCAGAGCGCTAATCTTCAAATTTCCGAAAGTACCTGCGAAAAGATCCTGAGGAAGACCATTGTAGCACCGCGTTCCTTTGAACTCATTTGTCATCATGGCGTCAAAAGAATATTTCACCGTGGAGACAGAATTAAGCCATCTCCAGTAAGGAGGAATCTCTGATCTCTTCGCGAAGAACCCAGAAAATAGGAAAAACAGGGATGTGGTGGCGATCACGACGGCATAACCGGTAATGTAACTTGGCACAAGAGCACTAACAAACATGACATAAGAATTGGTGGTGATAAGAGAAGCAAAGAGGATTATCCAAAATTTGAAGAGGTTGCTTTGGAGGTTAAGTAGGTATTTTGTTAAGACTGCAAAAGTGAACCCCTGAACTGCGAAGCTGGGGAGGTAGACAATGAGTGAAGAGATCACATATGATGATGCTCTATAAGCGTTGTATGAAGTCTCTCCGATGAAGATGAACCTCTCAAGGATGAAGGTCGGTACTGCGTCGTTTGAGGAGTGGAAGATAAGGGAGGCGGAGAAGATGTAGAAGTTGCGAACCTTATTGATGTTCTTGAAAGTGTTTTGGTCGAGCTTTCTGAAAAGGCTTGAGATAATGAATGCCATTATGACAAGTATTATTACTCTCGAAAGGAATAGCTCTTGTGTTCGAATTACATTCAAACCTGATCGCCATGACAAGATTGCAAATTCTCTAAGCCATGGATTCGCATATTTGGGTCCCAAATCGGGCTCATCGAGCACTTCTTCTACCTCGTACTCTTCGTATTCATCGAATGAGGGTTGGAAGGTTTCAATTGAGGAGCTGTTGTTGGCTGAAGGGGTTCTAGCTCGAGAATGGTTAACTTGAGAAGGTGTTTGTCCGGGTGTTCTTGCTGGGGTCCATGACGGAGGACGATGAGGTGTTCCTTTAACACCGTCGTAAACCCAATGGGAGAAGTCCTTGTAGAACTGAGAAGCCAAAGGAGGATTGATAATGTACTGTGACATAGAAGTACGAGACGCTCTACGCTCCAAGGAGTTATCGAAGTCCTCGCCATCATCATTGCCATACCTAATCCGTCCAGAGGAGGTTACCTGAGGTGTCATTTCTTCAGAGGAGGAGAAACCTTGGTTGCTGAGGTTGATCATGTGCCTGGAAGCGGGATTGCTTTGTCTGTAAGGTGTTAGGCTTGGGGTTCTAGGTGATCTTGGAGTTTTAGCTGCTTGGTCAGGATTGGTGCCATCTCGTTGATACGACACAAGGGGTTCTAGTCCCACAGTTGATTCATCGTAATCTTTGATGATGTCTAGGAGATAGTCGAGGTTGTCCTCGCCGTAAGGGACTGGTCTTCCGAAGCCATCCAGGTGGGCGGGCAAGTCTACGGGACTGCCCATGTAGATCAACCTTCCCCTGCCATGAAAATCAGGATTTATAGACACAAAATTAATAGTCCTCTCGAATAACATTCATAAGCAGTGTGTGATAAACACAACTTTTGTATTTTCAAAGAAAGTAAAACCCAACAATTTGAATAACAAACTTCACTATATATATATATATATTTTTTTTTTTTGAAGCTACTACAGAAAATTTTAAGAACAAGCAAATAACAGTTTGAATTCAGGGAAAATTTAATATTAGATTCGGTGTACTATCCGTCTACGTTTGAGAGTTTAAAATATACACTTTGTTTCTTGAGTTCTGTCTAGTTGTTTAGGGAAATTTGATGGCATGCAAAAATCAAATAATTAGGAATGTTTGAAAAACTCAAAATTATATATTTTTTTTCTGGAAAGAAATATCAAATTATATTTAAGTCAATAAATTATAGAAGTAAAATATATTTATAAAAATACGGAATTGAACAAGAATCTAACGGATTAAAAAACATTTTCAATCTCACCATGCTCATATAGGAGGTTAAATCTGTAGAGGGTTTATAGTTTTTTACATGGTGAATCATGCTTAGTACCTTGCGAGGACTGTGATTCGGTCCAACAACATTTGAATTCGAAACGAAGGCTGATGGATGGTCATAAGCACAATGCTACCACCTCGGGCTATGTCCTTGATCTTCTCCACCACACTGTAAGCATTGGTTGAATCTAGTCCAGTGGTGGGCTCGTCAAGGAACAGCAGTGAGGGCTTATGGATGATGTCGATCCCTATGGACACCCTTCGCCTTTCTCCTCTTGAGACTCCTCTCCTTCCCTCATCTCCAATTTGTGTGTGTATTACGCTCTGAGTATGTCATCTCAAAAAGTCAATTTTGTTAAATCATTCTAACATAACAAGAATTATGTGACATAAGTTTTTTGCTCAGATAATTTAGTGCCTTATATATGTAGGGTACACAGAAGTCTATACATCCCATATACTGTACGATTGGATATCAAACTAATGTTTTGCAAAATATGAACGCGCCATATATAGACACAACTCATTATACTATGAAGTACAGGAATACCTGCAAGCCTAGTTGGTCAAGAAGGTCATGAACTCGTTTTTTCTTTTCAGCCCTGGAGATGGCAGGTGGTAATCTAACCTCAGCTGCAAACATGAAAGTCTCAAAGACAGTCAACATAGGAAAGAGCTGGTCATCTTGCATCACATAAGATGAGACCCTCTTCATGTAGCTTGTACTTACCTGGAAATACCAACATTCTACACACTTAATTCATGACAAAAGAAATAGAAGATTTAGAGAAAATCATCTTAATGGACAAAAGCTTATGCCACACGGAACACCTGTTGGGTGCTATGTAGATCTCTACATACCATATCATAATAAAACAAAACGCAAAACTAAATTGATATGAACAGATAAAATAAAAATTTAGAAGAGTAGAAATCAAGAAGAGAAATAGAACCAGTACTAGAGAGAAAGTAGAACCAAAGGGTCTAGAGTGAGGGCAAGAACTCAAACTACTTCATAAATTTAAATTACAAACGGTCATCATATTCACAGAAAAACTACATAACAAAATTATAGGAACTGACAAATATAAAATAAGGATATTTTACAATAGAACTTGGCATCAGAGAGTAAGAGTGATAAAGGCATGAAAAAGCTATATGACCCTCAGAATGACAACTGAAACAGTCTATTTGAGAATTGGACGAAGTAGTCTCCTTACGCTAGAAGGAATTTTAGAGTACATTGATGGGGAGATGAGTGATTGCGACCCAGAATTAGCATGAGGTAAGGTTCTAGGTTTGTACAAGTAAGAATCCACACGTACAGCTCGACAATTGAAAGACTGAAGTTATTTCTCAGCCTCTAAAAGTATCGAGATAACAATCTTCCAGATGTTAACCTAATAATCATTAGTACACCGAGCATGAAGATTGAAGAGCTGATCTAAGAAATGGCGCCGATAATATAGACAAATATTTCATGTTAAAATCGCTATTCATGTCAACCAAAGAAGTAATAAGAGTTTGGTTCAAGAACTCGAGGTGACAATTAATTGTTTGCCAATGTTTCTTAGCATGACCAAGTAACTTCATTTTAGGAAAACAAACACGATGAGCATTGACCCTCGGTCATCTCATATATCACTCTGAATAGTCTTGAATACTTGCTAACCAATCAAGAAACACAATATTGTGGTACACTAATCTTCCATCATATTCACAGCGTCAATATTTGTCCACGTAGAAATATATTCGCCATCATGTACAACGTAGGGAATTTAATTCCTAAAAAACTTCTCGATGCTCAGAGGTCTCAGGAAGTTTCTGGCCAACAAAATCCCTTCGGGAAGGGACCCAATAAACTTATATATAGACGCTACCTTAAAGAAACTGTTCAAGATATCTAGATTGAAAAGGCAGGTCTATACTCATCATCTAAAGGGTTTTCCAATTCATAAAAAATAATTCCTAGCTACAAAAGGAATTTCCTTATTATGAACAGTGTGGTGTTCTAGTAGTGGTCTAGGCGAAACAAACAGCTGTTTTTCATCTTTCTTTGTTATTTTGCACAAACAATTGAATATTTGCATGGGGAGAGTTTCTAGCAGCAACGAGTTGTGGGCTTCTGGGGTTTTGTAGATGGGCGAACACGGTGTCCTTTTGCTAGGGTGGCGCACTGGCGCTTTCTAGCTTCTACAACGGGGATCTGGACCTTGTTCAGCTGGGTTTTGCATATCACAGACTTCTGAATCGATTATCGAAGTGGCGCATGCACGGTGTAGTTGAAATCGCGTGGGGCATGGATGCAGGGCGTGTTGAGGTAGCACTGTTGGCACGTAAAGACGGATGGCTATAGTTTTGGATGTGAGAAATCTAAGGCCTCATTCAGTTTGTTGATTTGAGTTTTTAATTTAAGTTGAGATGTTACTTTATTTAAGAGCTTTTAACTATAGCAAAAAAAGTTAGATGTGACTTTTTATGAGAGCTTTTAATTGTAATAAAACTAGAATTAAAAACTCAAATCTGAACAAGTTTAAATATACAATCAAGGTAGCAGACATATAATGAGGATAGAAGTACAGAACAAATAACATAAATAGAAGTAAACGAGAAAAACTAGAGATTTCTAGAGAGCAGTGACAGATGGAGCAGAAATTTTTGTTAGTGGGGGCTACTAACTAAATAAAATTTTATAAAAAATAAGTATCTATTGATGCATAACAATAAGCCCTGACGGATTTTTATACATTGATAAATAATAAATTTATGAAATTAAATTAAGTAAATGATATATTTTAAAACTATTTAATGTAAATAACAGTTTAACATGTAAAAGATTCACTTACCACTGGTAAAAAATAATTCACGTACTACAAAATCTATTTATGTGGAAAAAATCTTTTTCCTAGTTGTAAAAAGAAAATTTACATGAAAAAATCTTTTTTCTAATCTTAAATGAAACTTTTACACAATAAACTATTATTTACCTCAAATAATTCTAAAATCTACTATTTACTTCAATTATTTTCTATAAATCTCTATTTAATTTAATTCTCCCAAAGTATTATACTACTTTTCTTATCAAGACCTTTGAAGATTGATTTTATAGTTTATATGTAATGGGAGTTTCAAAATTAATTTTAGTGGAGGTTTATGAATATAATACAAACTTATACATATAAAATTCTTAAAATAAAAAAATTTGAGTGGGGGCTTAAGCCCCACTGGAGCCTTAATGGCTGCGTCCTTGCTAGAGAGAGAGGAAGAACTTGAGAGGAAGAGGAAAGTCTGTAATCTCAATATTCATTCAACAAAGCATTTCTGAATTGAAATAATGATGTATAAACAAATAATAAAATGGGAAACAAAACCAAAATATATAACATATGAAAAGTTGATGATAATAAATTAGCAGCCCTAATAATATATATATATAACCTTAATTAAATAAAAACTAAATATTTAGGTAATTAATAATAAGATCCTTCATCACAAATATGAATTGATTTCATCTTGAAATTATATATGATGGCTCAGAAAAACTTACTTATCCTGTAGTAGAATACAACAGACATATCATAATTTATATATATATATATATATATATATACACTACGGCAAAGACTATATGCTAATTACCGGCTTCCCATCAATCCAAACAGAACCTCCTAAGCTTCCTTTAGCAATCCGTCCGGCCAAGGCATCAAGAAATGTTGATTTTCCAGCGCCACTCGGCCCGACAATAGCCATGATTTCTCCTCTCATTGCTTGGCCAGAGATATCATTAAGAAGATAAACGTCTTTCTCGATCCATGCACCATCTTTCTTCTGCTTCTTTATCACGCTGTAAGAGAGGTTCTTGTACTCCAGGCCATGGCCAGGGATCATGTTCCGAGGTTGTAGCGGAACACCATTCTTCACAGGATTGTCCCTGTCCATAAGAGACTCCAAGTTTGTTTCTGAACAGCCAAGATTTGACATGATGATGAAGAATAGGGGAATGGAGTATTGAGAGTCAGACGGCAATATTAATGTAGATAAGCTCTTTAATAAGGGGATTTCAGTCTTTCTCATTCTCCTTTGGGCTTGTCGGGACCAGCTTTGATATTCCCGGAAGGTTTTCTACTATAATTGTTATTTATTTCATTGTGATCAAAGAGACAGCTTCCTCAATCATTTTATATATAACTCCACGCGTATTCTTATAAGATCATATTTCTACAGATATATTATATATGTATATATGGATGATTTTTTAATAGATAATTACAGATGGCAATCTTGCTTGTGGATATAGGGGTTAAAATTAACCTCAGGAGCGAGGCGGGGTGGAAGAAGCTCCCTCGTTCCTGACTCCGCCCGATTATATATACTTTTATTTAATACATAATTTATATATAATTCCACACTTATTCTTATAAGATCATATTTCTACTAATATTATATATATATAGATGAATTTTCAATGGATGATATGACAATATTACCTGTGGGTATAAGGGTTAAAATTAACCTCTGAGTCAGGAGCGAGGCGGGGTGGAAGAAGCTCCCCCGTCCTTGACCCCGCCCGATTATATATATTTTTATTTAATACATATTTTATATGTGTGCGTGCTATAGTTTATAAAAAAATTCTAAATGAGATATATAATTATTAGCACTTATAGAGGATTGAAAAACTATGATGGATACGTAATAAAATTCACGTGGAGATGCGGAATGAATATGCAAAGAAAAAAGAATAATTTTTTTAATATTTTAATGTTTTAATTTGTTTTACGAATTAGTTTATGGATTGTTAGAGTTTAGATTTTGTTTTAGGTTTATTTTTATGAGATATTAGTGGCTATTTTATTACATTTTATTGTAAGTTTAATGAAATTTACTTTGAGTATAATAATGTTACAATTTTTTTAAACTCTTATTTCTTAATTGTTAGCGAAAAGGTTTATGAAGATTTGGGTTTTACGTGGAAAGTCATTTCAGAAATAAATTCATAATTGTTTGGCCCACTATCACGAGTAATGAGTTTAATTTTGGGAAAATAGGTAGCATGCCACATACATATGATTACTACTATATATTTGTGTCGCCGTTTACGGTCTTAAGATTTTTGTCACTCTGACTACTCTTTCTATCTTGACAGCCTAATTAATAGAGAAATTTAAGTTTATTTAGTTCGTTAATTTAAATTAATATGTAATTTTATACGAGAGTTTTTACGCTTAAAACAACACTCAAACCCTATACCATTCCTCTTTCTCTCTCACACTTAGACCATTCTCTCTCCCTC